TGGCTCCTTTCATTGTGCTCCGCAGATATTACTCTTTATAAAAGTTTTTTTCTTTTTTTAGTGTTTTAATTTTTGGTATTATTTTCTGTTACATATGAGCAAAGTCAAAAGTTGTATCATTGATATAAATCCCTAGGATTTTAAGACCTTACATATTTAGATGTAGAAAGATGCTATACTAAATTATTAAAAGGATCTCTGAGATTTTGGCACAGTAAACCAATGGCATGTGCTGCGTGGACAGGTTGAAGAAGTCTAAGTAAGTGTTCCTCACTGTGGATTGTAATATATGTGGATAATATGCAGCATATACTAAGGTGCACACATGTGTGCATAAGACCACAGCTGTGTATGTGTGTGCACTCACTACCAATGTTAGCAACAATTTGATAAAGGGTGGGAGGGCAAAGTAACACTTTACAGAATTCCTGGTAAGAAACATAGAAGAATTGATTACAACATAGAGTTTGGTAAATACCACAGTAATTATAATCATAGGTAGCATCCAATTAATATAAAAATAATAGCAAAGTATGGTGAAGAAACAGAATATTACCAGTCTCAAAGTGTTGTCTTATGCAAACCTTAATAATTAAAAGGTGAAAATAATGGACTTGATAATTGGACAGAATGGAAAGAAATGCACTAAATACAAATATGAAACTCTTAAAACCAAATACATAATCAGTACATTTCACTGAACACAGGATATGTTACATCAGTAAAAACCTTAAAAACCCAGAAAACCCGCATCTGATCAAGGCTGGTCATTGTCCTTATTATAATAGCTGAAGAGCTAGAAAGGCAAAATGACACATGAACAGAGGCAGTCTGCACCGCTGATGGGGACACGTCCCTGCAGTTACAAACACGCTGTCACGTGTCACTGAGAATCTCTGCCCGTGTTCAGTGCTGTGTTTCAAGGCAGAGTCACATGATCACAGCGTGGATGGAACATCCAGTTTCTGACACAACCTCTAAACTCTTGAGTTGTGACACGTGAGTGGAAGTAACAGCTTTCGCAAGTTCCTCACACTCATAGCGACCTTCTCCTCGGGGAGCAGAGTTCCTCTATTGTAGTGTGATAAGCATCTAAACCCTTTACTGCATTCCTTACACTGATAAGGGTTCCTTCCTTTTTGGAATCATGGCAAGTTTTGTGGAATCATGATTAGTTCATTACATTAATTTCACATTCCTCTCCACTGTGCATCCTTAAATATGAAGTGTTGTTGTTGTTGTTGTTAAGTGCCCTCGAGTCGGTTCCGACCCATAGCGACTCTGTACAGGGTTTCCGAGGCTGTAAATCTTTACGGGAGCAGAACGCCTCATCTTTCTCCCGCGGAACAGCTGGTAGTTTCGAACTGCTGGCCTTAAGGTTCGCAGCCTGATTTGTAACCACTACGCTTCCAGAGAAGTGGTTGTGGTTGGTTGTGAAGTGCCGTCGAGTCGGTTCCGACCCATAGCGACCCTGTACAGGGTTTCCAAGGATGTAAGTCTTTACAGGTCTTAGTAAATAACATAGGCTTACCCAAGTTGGCTACATTCATAAGGTCTCTGCTAACTAACTGTGAGTTCGCCTGTTTAGTGAGGGATGGACAACTAGGAGTGGCTTCTCCATATTCCTTGCACTCAGTGAATTTCTCCACTATGAGACATCATATGTACAGTGAGGGAGGAGGCATCAACAAACGCTTTTACACACTGTTGACATTCAGATGGCCTCTTCCCAGTGTGGATTCTTCTATGTCTAGTGAGGATTGAGGCCTGCCTGAACACTTTCCCACACTGTGTACACACATTAAACCCGGTCTCCACTGTGAGTTTGCACATGGTTAATGTGTGAGGAATCCTTAAAAGCTGGCCCACATTCCTTAACATTCATGGGGCCTCTCCCCACTATGAGTTGGCATGTTTACGGAGAGATGAGTACCTACCAAAGACTTTCCCACATACTTTACATTTATATGGCCTCTCTCCACTGTGGATTCTTATATGTGTTGTGAGGTATGAGAGTCCACGAAAGGATTTTTCACAATCCTTGCATTTATAAGGTCTTCTCCACTGTGGATTCTTCTATGTTTTGTGAGGTTTGAGAATTGACTAAAGGATTTCCCACACTCCTTACATTCATAGGGCCTCTCTCCACTGTGGATTCTTCTATGTGTTGTGAGGCTTGGCCATTGAGTAAATGATTTACCACACTCCTT